TTTAAAATGAATTATGCTGGCTATATATTTAGGATGTCATCATCATACAAAGGCATGTTTGTGCTTTGGTAGGATGCATTTTAAGCAATATGTTTGCATTAGAAGCAGGGGGATCATTTGAGTTTACCTCCTCACCCTATCTCAGGACAAGTGTCTTCTTATCTCTCTGCACACAGGACCAAAGTCCAAAGCCTGCTCACGTGTTTTTCAGTTAGACATTATTCACAAACTTTAATAAAGTAAAGCTTTAAACACAACACTACACGCTCACTGCACCACATAGAAAGATTGAGAGAAAACTGTATTTACCTGGTATTCAACCTCCATGTTGTCGCTCCTCACTGCAGTTTGGTAAAAACACTCTGTGCTGCCAGCAGACAATAAAAATGTAAATTCCATGTCTTTGTTTGGCCCCAGACCCAAAGTCAAGTCTAAAGTCAGAATCAAACATGCCAGCAAACACAGCTCTGCAGACACACTTATCATCCTCTGCTCACTGTCCGTGTAATCCTCTTTCACCAACTTTAAACGACTTTGTTCTATGTTACACATGCACAATAAAGCAAGTTTACTGTGTGTCTGTAATTGCTGACTCTCATACTCTGACAGTTAGAGAATAACCTCACAGTTTAGTTCCTTGATCAAAGCTGAATGAGTGGAGCCTTTATCTGTGTCGACCAATAGCACCTTGCAACATGCAAAACTTCCCAGAGAGGACAAGGTGCAGTACACACTACATAATGAGCCTGATTATGCAGGGTTGAAGGGTTGTACAGATAATGAAAGCATTTTTTTGTAAATATTTTTATATATTTTCATCACTTCTCGTATCTTTTTTGCTAATTCTTACTTGCACAAAATATTGATTTTCTTCTACTTAATGAATTCCCTTTAACACATGTTGTACTTGCCATGACCTCATCTGTTCTGTAGGGGGAGCTAGGGTTAAAAGCAGACACAAAGCAGGCCGCACAGCTTTGATATGATAGATGCATTAAAAAGAACTTGGTATAAGTGAGTGTACAGTTTACAGAGAACCTGGTAGGATACAATACACATGCTGAACTGCATAATCCATGATTCAGTGTGATTAATGTGGAATCACAAATTCCTGTTGCTCACTAAAACATGATCAAGTTACTATGAGTGTGTACAATTACATAATGCTTTATGGATCACCACAGTTCAACCCACAATTATTTCCTACATTAAACAACATGCCACCAAATTAGGCAGAGGTAGACATCTGCGTGTTGCTGCATGGCCCAATGGTCCGTATAAATGTCTTTGTTTTTTTACAAGGTAGGAAGTGGAACGTGAGTTTATTTTATTATTCTAATAGAAAATGTAGCTGTTGCCAACTGACAAATCAGGGGAAGGTGTGGAGACATGTTTAAGTATGAAATAGTGTATTGTGATGAGGTAAGAAAGAGAAACAAGGCATTTGTGTCAGGAATCTGAATTTTGTCTTATTACCATAGAAACATGTATTTGTTCGCCTGCAACCAGTTCGACTGAAAAAAAAAACAGTTTCATATTTCTTTTTAGTCCTTTATTAGGTGATCTTCTTACTATATAATGACGAAAACTCTGTCTGTCAGTTTGACCAATCTGCATGAAACTCGGTGAACATAATCTAGGGACCAATATCTAAAGTTCCCTCTTAGCAAAAGTTGGAAAACTTACTAAAACTGAGCTTCTATAAGGCAATGAATATTGCGGAGGGCGTGGCTCATCACATAAAGGTGCATAACATCTCAAGGGTTTCACCGATCACCACGCAACTTTGTAGGCATATGAAAACACATAATCTGAGGGGACCCCTCCATTATTGACCCCATCAAACAAAATGGGGGTGCTAGAGAGCTAATTTCTTATCTAGGCCTAACCGCCATATCGATTTTTACTGAACTTGGTAGATATGTAGAACAGGACGCCTCAAGGTGACTGGAGAAATTTAACTCTAATTGGCAATTGGGTGGCGCTATAACAACAGAAAATGGATATTTGGTATGACTAAGTCATGGGTATGCTGTACTCAATGGGTATGGACTAGTATATATGATACATCAAATATACCACCTATCAGTTAGAGAGTTTCCTGCTATTCTAGTGTCCATAAAAGCAACTGTAGAATCATTTTTTTCTTAGTTTGACTAAAATCCTTTAACAATTAAGGGTTGCCATTATAATAGCATAGTCACTACTGATCATGCAGCAGTTTACATAGCACACATAGAGTCAAAACTGTCACATCTTTCTTTTAAATGGAAATTTCAAACAAAATGGTTAAATTTTATGGATTTTTTGGGAGAGCAGATTAATCTGTATTTTGAAAGGGCTAGATGCCCTTCAAATTATAGAACAAAGTTTAAGGGTAAGATGTGACACCTCTTTTTGACATGAATCAGGAATAAAATGAAACTGGCTGCCTCCCCAATAGATTGAGAACAGACTTGATTATTAAACTGCTTCCAGAAAGTATGTCCTTATCTAAGAAGGATATTAAATATTGCACATAATGAAAAGGAAAACCACACACAGCCATTCGGATCACGTGCATAGTAGTCTTACAGCACGTCTTACACAGTCTTACAGAAAAATGGAGCAGGGCACCTAAAGTGCAAGGCCTGGGGTCTAGACAGGGGTGGAGCGAGAGACTTAAAGCCCTGACACACCAAGGAGACAGTTGGTCGAAGTTGGGCAGTTGGTGAGTGTCTGCTGCCCTCAACGGTGCGGTGTGTCCTGCAACGCTGGCCCTCATTGGCACTATTTGGCCTTTCTTCTGCCGATTCAGCATTTTGAATCAACGTCAGCATGGCAGAACCCATTGGTGAATGAAATCACTGTGGTTGACAGTTCAGCTCAGTGCACGAGAAGAGAAACGGAAGTGAGAAATGTGAACAAAGAGCTAAAGTCGAGAGGGAGTGAGGTCGAAACAAACTTGTATGAGGTAAGATTGTTTTTCTCCAGCCAATGAGCCCTTTTCGTTTCATGATGGTTTGGCGCACAGTAAATATTCTTTGTTCTTTCAGCATTGGATTGTTTTGTTAATCTGCTAACTGGCTAACTAGCATCAATACAGTCTTTTGCTTCCCCTTTTTAAATGATGATTACAGACGACCCCATGTGCTGGTATAGGGTATGTCATGGGTATGACAGGACACAACAGGGGGCTCTCCCCATAGCTAGGTCTCCGATGTTGGTTTGGTTTGTCTGGGCCTTTAAGGCACTACGGCCTGAGGTCTGGGCTGATGGGGGTAACAGATCTGGAGTGTGACCAGAAGGATGGCCAGACATACAGAAGGTCAAGAGGTCAACCAGAACGAAGGATAGATGGGCAGAACCACTCTGCGGGGAAGTCAGTAGAGATGGGACCCCACTGGAACACAGAGACAGAACCTCATGAGAACATGGAGATGGGAATCTACTGGAAAACAGAAATTAGACCCTTCGAGAGGAAGGCCACAGAGGCAGAACCCCACTGGAAGACAGCCACAGAGATGGGACCCCAGTGGGGATGGCCTGCAGACATAAAGCCAGGCAAAGCAAGGAGCAAATGATGACCTATTTGTAGGGTAGATCCATGGTGGGCTGAGTTGGGGGTCAGCAACAGGACAGCAGAGTAGGAGTCCAGGGAAACAGCAACTCAGGAACTGTTAACTACAGCAGCTTAGCAGGAACATGCAGCGGCCTGTGTGCCAAATGTGGGCCAGGAACAGAAGAGACATTGGCTGGGACCCCAACCTCAAGAACAGACTCAGGAACAGGCTTGGCGTTGGCCAGGACCCCTGACCCTTGCACAGACAAGATGTCAGCAGGGACCCCTGATTTAGAAACAGATAGGAGGTCAGCCGGGACCCTCAACTCAGGAACAGACTTGGCGTAGGCTGGGACCTCCAGTGTAGAGACAGACAGGACATCAGCCAAGACCCCTGACATATGGACTTGGCATCAACCTGGGTCCCCTGATGCAGGAACAGATTTGGTGTTGGCCAGGACCTCCTCCAACGCAGGAACAGACTGGACTGCGGACAGAATGGTTATACTATTCATTAAACAGAGGAGGTCTCCAGATCTCTAGAAAATTAGACTTTTTTGGCCTCATTTCGGTTTTGAATTGCTCATTAGAAAAAAATTATAATGAAAAGAATCTTAGAATAAAGTGATCATATTTGTGGGACATGTACGTCACATCATGTTTGTCAGGTCATTCGGCCTTGTGCCTTCCTGCCCCTTTACCGGTCCATCTCGGAAATAGTAAGGCCATACATAACTCCATTACTAACGTCTGCATCAGTGTAAGCTCTTCCCTCTTTTAAAGCCTTTACTCTTGCTAAGACACCAATAATTACGTCTAACCTGAGTCTGTAGCTAAATTTTCCCCCTCATGTTCACTTCCATCTATCACACAAAGACACAGTTCTTTTAGGTGGGGAATAAATACATATTTATTTATTTTTGGTTTTTGATATGCCTCACAACTCTGCTCTATCCTCTGAAACAAAGCATGAACTTTTAACACTGTGAATAAGAGAGTATATGAGAAAGGAAGTGTGAATGCAGATATTTCAACATTGCTCTTCCAGCAAAGTGGGAGGGTGTGAAGGGGAGGTTAAAATGCATTGTGCTTGGTCTCCCACTTAGCGATTGTCATCGTCTACTTTGTGGCTCGTAACCGATCAATTGTCATGTTCTCCTGCTGCACTTGGAGCAACTGCATCAACTACAGTATCATTTTATAGTTACTGAGTGCAGAAAGGTGCTTTGGTGATACATCTCAGGATTTCTGTGTCTGAGTCTGTTCTTTTATCTGACTACTCGTGAGCCATCTCCACTTGAACCAACCACAAGTGAGCCCACCCATTTTTTTTCACCCCTCTCTGTCTCTCAAGTCTCCATTTGTGTCTGTGACCCTTTTGAAGCAACAGCGTCTGCAAACTACAGGAGGATATTTCCACAAAGCATCATTTTTCAGTTACAGGGAGAGCTCTGTAGTTATGTCTCAGTGTGGATATCCTTCTGCATATGTGGTGGACACCCATGCCACCCGGCCTCCACTGCCACCCAGGCTGAATCAGGGGCGACAGCGTGGTAAGGCAACGCAGACCGTGTTGATCATGCTCGTGGCCTTGGCTTTGAGCGGCATGGCCATAGAGGCTTGCTTCATCTACCACCTCTACCAACAGGAATCAGTGAGTATGAACACCATCTTTGAGTCTCCACCTGCTTACAGTTTTATCCTGTGATTTCTTCTTAACAGAGTCACGCTGCTTTTTTTCTTCTTCATTCATTTCATTTTCTTTCGGATCCCTTTGAATTTCACTTTCAGAGAGATCATTTTCAGCTTCAACACTTTATTCTCACTTTCAGTTTTCTCTTGCTTGATTTCTGTTTTCCCACAAACCAAAACTCTTTTTATTGTTGTTGGTAACACCTTTACTTTTCTTTTAAATACAAGTTATCATTATAGGAATGCTTCTGCTTTTCTCAGCAACATTTTGTTTTTCTTTAAACACTTAAATATGCTTATACTTGACTATACTTCATGCTAATTTTTTTGCACAAACAAAGATAAATAAATACAAAAAATGTGACCTCAGAACATAAAACAGCATCATGTATAAACATGAAAGGAGCACACTTTATGTGTTGGTGATGAGAAAGTTACTTTAGACATAACTTTTTAATATAGTCATATCACAGTCACATGCAACATGTAGGAAAGTGCCTACTTTGCCTCCATACATTGACCGACTGCAACCAATGTGAAAAATCCCACTGTCCAAGCATCAGTTTGTGATTACAGATATTCTCATGGTGTGATGATGAGTTATGGTGTGATGTACAAAAAAAACAGTCATTTGCACAATGGGGAACTTGTTCAGATTTAGTGAAGTTAGTGTCTGTTTTGTTTCTATCACAAGTGTCTTTCGCCTTACTCCAATCATATGAGTGATTGTTTTCCTTGAAAAAAAAAAAAAAACTGCTGATGTTGAAAAAATTTCACTATTATGGGGAAGAGAGTAGAGATAGAGAAGTGCGGCCAATTTTTGGAAAACCATAATGACGTCCACGGGTGGCTGGAGCCACTACTAGTTAGTATTCAGAAAGTATTCATTGTAGGAGTTCTTCTGCTTTTCTCAGCAATATTCTGATTTTCTTTAAATACTTAAATGTATTTATACTTAACTGTACTTTATACTAGTTTTTATGCACAAATGGAAAATTAAATTTAAAAATAAATGAATGTAGATTAAATACACATTGATACCTTAATGAAAAATCTCAGAAAAAGACAAAGAAATCCAAAAAATTGTGACCTCAGAACATGAAACAGCATCATGTAGAAATATGAAAGCAGCACACTTCATGTGTTGTTGATGAGAAAGTTACTTTAGACATAACTTATAAAATATTCATAGGAAAGTACCCGTACCTGAAAATTCCACTGTCCGAGGGTCAATTTGTGATTACAGATATTGTCATAGTGTGATGATGAGTAATGGTATAATTTAAATCAATGTCATTACAATGTCATTAGCACATTGGGGAACTTGTTCAGGTTTAGTGAAGTGAGGTATGAAGCGAAGAACACTTGTGATAGAAACAAAACGGATGCTTGTTTTTTGTTTCTATCACAAGTGTCCTTTGCCTTACTCCAATCACATGAATGGTTGTTTCATCAAAAAAAAATGCTGATATGGAAAAACAGTCACTATTATTTGGAAGAAAGTAGAGATGGAGAAGTGCAGCCCATTTTTGGAGAACTACTATGACGTCCCCCGGATGGCAGGAGCATGCAGACTTGATGTTCCATTATGGTGAATGGTCAGTTTTTTCACTCTATCGCTTTGACTCAGTTTCCCGTCCTCATCTGATGCTCTGTGTGCAGGCAGCAGTCACAGGGTAGGGGGAGAGGGACAAAGATGTCTTGGTTTCACACTGTTTGGTTGCACACCGTACAAACAGGGGACGGTGAAGAAACGGAAGTGGTCTATTTCCTGTTGCATGATTGTGATCTACCTTTTGCTTATTACCAGAAAGACAGACATGTCCTACTTTGTTCTGCGGGCAGATAAGAAAACACAAAGGGGTCGTTTGAGAGCATAGTTTTTGGTTGATCGCATATCTGACAGTGTTGATTACATATGCATGCTCATGAACATGAAACATTTTTCTTTCTATTGCAGGCCGCCTCAGCATCAGCCTCCAAGATCATTGCAGGTATGTCTGAGCACTTTTTACTCACCTGATAAATATCACGTCATTTACTTAATCCACATCAGTGACATGACGTCTGGTCCTCACACAGATCAAGCCATGACACCAACTAAAACTCCCAGTCTTATTATGCCTCCTTCCAAACCGCTTGCACATCTGACAGGTAAAGTAGTGCAACACAGTAAATGACACATACTGTCTTTAGAATGTATTCATCATCTGTTTAAATATTGAATAAATTATACAAGTATATTATATGAATAAAATGAGGAATCAGAAGTCACACTGTTGCTGTTTTTTCCCATAGACGGACAAGACGTACATCATGACAATGAAATCATGGCATGGAGCATGAATGCAGAGCCTCCCCTCTATGGAATGAAGTACATAGACAGCAGTCTCGTCATTCAGCAGGAGGGCTATTACCACATCTATTCCAAGGTGTTCTTCCACGACACTGGTTTTTTCAACCATTCTATTCATCGGAAAACTGAGCGGTACCCTGGGAAAAGCATCCCCCTCCTGGTGTCCAGAAAATACTCAGAGCGGTCCAGCAGAGTACGATCCAACAGTTACCTGGGTGGGGTGTTTCACCTCACCAAAGACGATGCGATTTTTGTGAAAGTGAGCAACACCTCAAAAATCGTGCGTCACAAATACTTCGAGAACACCTTTGGCGCGTATATGTTATAAATATCACATTGATATATTCACCATGAATCGCAAAGCTTGGAATAACAGTAAATAAAAGCTGAGAATAAATGTTCGAGAAGCTTCTTGAGGGTTAGTGATTCTCTTTGTAAAGACGAAGTAGGTCCATACGTGGACAGATAGGCAGGTGTGGAAACCTCTTGGTGCCTGATAGCTTTTTTATTGAGGGGTGAAACTCTTCAATTTTTAAGGTATGTTTGTAACAAAACTTTTCTTCTCAGGGGATTTTTATATGATTGTGCTTGTATATTTTAAACGTAATCTGGATAGATTTTTATCCTGAGTGTATGTGTTATGAAGCGTTCACATGGAATCAGGCAGACGGCACCCAAACAACACCCTTTGAATGGCATGGGTAAAACAGATATGAAGACTATACGTTGCAATGCGTATGTTGAATTGGTTACAAAGAATAGATTAAAGAATTTAAAATCAAATTATCTTGTGTTTATTTTATGCAATTGTTCCAGTAATGCCCCATGTTCTGTCCTTGTTTGAAAGGGCGACATCAGCTTGTAAATTCTGTCGTGGAGGATGGCCAAAAGTTACATCTACTTCTATCGTTGCTGGTATTGTGTGCCAGCCTGATTTTATTGTCCTGCCTCCTTCCCTTAAATTGATATCGAGTTTCCCGTCTGCGTGATTCAGTGTGAACGCAGCCTCTTGTTCATGCTTAAATGAAAAACATAAAAACCATATTCATTATTGTGTGCTGTAATACACACTGCATGCTATTTATTTATTCCTCCAGTATATAATTGCTTTACTTCTGCCGTATTTATGTAGAATGATGTGTTCAAAAGATTCAAATAAACAGATCATGTTTTAAAAGTCCTGCTTGTCTTTCTTGAGGCCATCACGTAGCTGAATTGAATTCATTTCCTGCTGCTGTGTCAGATGAGGCTGCCTCAGCAGAGTGGTCTCAGTAGCAGACGTTTCACTCACTCAGCCAAACCACATGGCTCACCCTGTAGAGAAAGTATTGTTAGTGACGCATAACTATATGTCAATATATAAACCAACCTTAACCAGAGTGAGTATGTGCTCTGCTATTGCAATACAGAGTACAGCTTGTATGACTAAAGGTACTTCTCTTGAGGGACGGCATCATAGAAATGATCTCATCTTAGTTCTATGAACAGCAAACTTCTCTACTGTAATGACGGTTTTAAACGCATCACCATGGCGACAAGCATGCCTCGTACAAATAAAAAGCTTCATCACTCTTGAGAGCTCCCCCCCCCCCCCCCCCCCCCCCCCCNCCCCCCCCCCCCCCCCCCCCCGTATTTCTCATGCAGTCACTGTTGCGCTTTCCCTTCAGACGTGTCTGTTCGAAGAAGCCGCTCTTGTAAACACCCACAGAGTTGTATATTTGTAAACTGGAGAGGAAGTGGTGGTGGGGGCTGGTGGAGTGGGGGGACGGGGTGTCATCGGCAGCTTGCTTGACTCACTTTCCAACCCCAGGCCCGGAGAGATCTGTGGTTGGTTAACATGTAGGCTACTGCAGCAGGACTCTATGTGTGTGAGTGTGTGTGTGTGTGTGTGTGTGTGTGTGTGTAGCGAGGCTAAAAACTAAAGCCAGGTGTGAACAAAAACATTTCAGTTAAATGAAATGAAAATAAAAACTAAACTTTTGGGGGGAAAAAACACAATATTGTGTATTTACTGACCATTTATAGACGCTAACAGGACTGAACTTTCATGAAAGTTCATTTTTAAAGGGACTTTTTTACCAGTATGTTTGTGTGAAAGGTGATAAGAGATGAACCCAACAACTTCACTAATATTTTATTTTAATTTAAGGCCCCATATTGTAATTAACTAATAATAATAAAACTAACTAACTAATAAAACTACATGTTTAAACGAAACTAAAGTGAACTGAAAACAAAAATGAAACACAAAATAAAAATAAAAAACTAATTAAATACACAAAACTATTCTAACTCTGGTGTGTAGGTTAAATGAAACTGAAATTTCTTTTCCCTCCAGCTTGGACAAGTTTTGTGGGTAAAACACTCTGAGTGGAGACAAATTACAGTCAAGGCTTTGGCTATATATCGTCTGAATGAATTCATAATGAATATTCTATCTTTCAAATCATGGGAGACGTGGTTCAGATGTGTTACACAGCCCTTTATCACGAACACTTCTCGATGCATGCGTGAGTCATCATGTTCCACCGCTGGCTGGCCCGAGAGGTGTGAGAGACTGTAGTAGCAAAAGGAGGGGGAGCTGTATCAGCTGTGGTTGGGATTCATGCAGTTGGTTTTCTCTCTCATCATTAAACATTAGTCTAGACATGACTAGAGAAGTCGTGTGGGATGAGAGTGATGTGCATTTGTCTAAGATCTGAAATCAGTTATTCACACTTCCATACACGAAACCGACATTTTCCATCGATAAAGCAGGGCCGTGTTGGCAGATATCACCCTGTTTAGACACTGTCAACAATTTTACACCCTACTTTGGAAATGAACCACGACCTACAGTAAGTGACACCAAGAAGCCCTTTCTTTACAGTGAACAATGAGAGATGTAGACAGTAACATGTTTTCTGCAAAGCAAAACTGAAAGATGGTCGTGGTAGACTGTCTACAGCTAAACACTGTCCCCTTGTGTTAGTCTCCAGGTCAGGTTAAAAACAGTGGAGTGCTGACATTTACATTATCTGTAAGCTTTGCTGAGTTCATTGAGAACAACATAAAGGGGAAGTGCATACATTTTCGAAATTCATACATGTTTTTCCTGTGGTTTGAGACAGTCCAGAAATATCTGTAAACATGGACAACTCTCTTCCAAATCCAAAAATTAGACTAGTCTCCCAACCATTCATAGCGCTTTTACACTACATGTCACATTCACACACTAGCTGCTGAGCCTACCATACATGGTGCCACCTGCTACTCAGTAACAATTCATATGCACTCACACTAACAAAACAGCAATTTGGAGCAATTTGGAGTTCAGTATCTTGCCCAAGGATACTTTGACATGCAGACTGGAGGAACTGGGGATCGAACAGTCAATCTTCTGACTGGTGGGTGACCTGCGCCACCTCTGAGTCACGGCCGCCCCCGGGGTAAAAAGACTGAAACTACTCCACAGACAATTAATTGAGTAAGATGTTAGAAATAAGAGCACCCAGGAGGATGTTCTGAGTGTGGAATGAATCACAATGTTTGTTGAAAATAACTTCAAGGTTAAAAAAAACAAACCCATGTCACCTACATAAAATGAGCAAACACTGTCTCAGTTGGGGGTTTTTAGCCACCTAATTTAAGGCCAACCTAAAAAAGTAATATTAGTTTAACCATGTTATATTTTTAGAGGATTTTTTTCCACTATAACTTGCTTTCAGACAGCAGAGGAGGTGACGCCGTTGTCATAAAGTCACCGGACTGCCGGACAGTCAGGGATCTCCGCGGAAAGAACAACATTCATCTGTACACACTGCAATGACACACAGCTGGTTGAATATCAGCAAAGTTTTCCTGTTTCCCTTCACTGGTTCCTGTACAGCAGGGTCGGTCTTTTTCTCACTGTTATAATCATTAAAAAGCAAAAGCAGCATGTGTACATTCAGTAGGCTATATCTTCAGTAGCTAGCTAGCTAACCCTACACTTTTCAGGGTTTGATTTTGGTTTCGGAACAGGGAAGAAACGTATATCTTTTTCCAACCTCTCAAGGTAACAGTTTTCCCCAGCAGTTACAATGATTGCACATTGAAAACATGTCTGACACCACTCACACACAGTGACATTTGGGTGGAAATGATGGAAATGAGGGTTTTCACAGAAGCTGCCATACATGTTTTTGTGGATAGAGAGGCTCTTGTACGCCTGCAGTGTGTGGCGGTGGAAAGCAAAGGTGGGAACAAACCAACCCATGCAGAAGCCTCTAATAAATGACACAGAGTGGGTGGTAAACGGGCATATCTGCTATGTGCATTTGAATTCAACATCTTGGACCGCACTCATCAGTGTAATCGAAAGCTGCGGTTGCAACAGCTAATATAGTTGTGGGACTCTGCTGCTGAAGTCTGAAGTTTTCAGATGAAACCTCAGTAACCTGGAAATTCTGTGTCTTGGCAGTGATGACGAATATCATGTTCCAATAACCTTTTGTGTTTCTGTTGTTGTAATGTAGGTCAGAAGATAAGATGTTGGATGTTTGTGTAAGGTGCAGGATTTTTATTTTGCTGTCAGAGTCTGGAGGGGATATTCTTCGAAAGCATATGGCAGGGAGGGTCCCGCTGTATCTTTGTAAATACTGACTCATTGTCTGCAGGGTCTCGCTGTTAACTTATGACCTCTCACTTTCACTTCATATCCAGGGGCACAAAAATGACTCACAGTCAAAACAACTAATTCATTATTGTAATTTAATTTGCTCTGTTTATTTCCATATTGGGGCTTTTAAACACATCAAATAAATAGTATGATGAACATATAGCTTTTAATTTGGACCTTTTCATGGCAGCAGTTACAGTATCTTGATGTAGTCAGATGTAAAGACACGTGTTAAAAAGTTCCCAGGACAAATGCTTTTTAAATCACACAAATATACATGCATCATCAGGGTGTGAGCAGATCCTTGTTGCATTAAAAAAAAAAAAAAAACTGACAATCATTGACAAAACCAAATATTTTTTTCAACTCTCTTAACAAACGAAACTTTCCGCACAAACCACCACGAGTCGTGATTTCATGTGATACAATATGTGATACATACAGGTAGTGAAGGAGATTCGGTTTGTCAACTCTTTTCGCTTTTCAATTTAGATCATGAATACTAATGTACGTAATGCGGTTCCTGTTTTTACATAATTACATAACACGTTCCATTTTGTGAAATCACCACAGATTGTGAAACGTTTCCCTTTAAAAAAAACACATCCACATTTTTGCACTTTTGTCTTAGCTTAATAAACACTTACCAACCATGTCATCTAGTTTGTACAATTTTGACTGTATTATTATATTAATTAATACAGAAAACACTGTACAAACATTACAGTGACTCACAAACAATATACTGTATGTATGCCACACAATGACATACCTTGTCACACAGTGACATACATTCATTGGTTAGTTCCTGACCTGCCCATGAAATTTTGTTAAATACAGTATCTGTATACAGAATATATTTTAGGTCCAAACAATAAATAAATACAACATAAATATGTAACTTATATGTGTCAAAACATAAAGAAACAAATCAAATAGGAGCTGTGGTGCAAATAACACAGTTCTGCCGGTAGATGCAGCACAAAATACATTCTTGCAGTTAACTGCACATTTTATTATTAAGAAACTCCAGTAAAGGGGAAAAAATAAATAACTAAATATGTCCTCCTTCCCAGCTGGCACCGGATGTTGGACTCTTACGTCAGACAGACGTTAAATTTTGATTGGAAGTCGTTACGTTAGACGTTAGAATTTTACGTTGCATGGACATTAACATATAACATTTTGCAGATGCTGGGTTTGTTTTCCATACTTACATCAAGATGACATTGGCATGAGAAGTTTGGAAGTCGCTGAGTTTTGGTTACTTTACAACACGACTTAAAACCAACAAAATATTAACGTCATCTGCATTCTACATTAAATTGATGTTGGCATTAGATTTTGTACTGACGTTAGATTTTGGTCACCCGACATCACAACCTAAAGTCAATCAAATATCATCGTCTTGCGACGTTGATGGCCAGCTGGGTCGATCCCAGCTATTTAAGAAGCAATGACAATTTAGCTTTTCTAACCTTTGTGAACATACAGTATACCTCATGTGTTTCTGGTACTGTACAGCTTAGTTTTAAAGTGTGAATTTGAAAACATCTTTCCTTTAGTTTGTATTTTTACTTCTATTCTGATACTAGTTATATAGCCTACCTGTTATTTTATTTATTTTTATCTTATATTTCTTTACATCTCTCACCTCTATCTGCACTTATTTCTGTCTTTGTGCTGCTGTCTTCTTGTCCTCTTGTCTTGTCTTATCTTATCTTATCTTGTCTTGTCTTATCTCGTCTTGTCTTGTCTCATCTCGTCTTGTCTTGTTTTGTCTTATCTTGTTTTGTCTTATCTTATCTCGTCTTTTTTTATCTTATCTCGTCTTGTTTTATCTTATCTTGTCTTGTCTTGTCTTATCTTGTCTTGTCTTGTCTTGCCTTGCCTTGTCTTATCTTATCTCAGAGAAGCAGATTTGTAGTGACATCAACCTAAGACCAATCCTGGTGCTGCTATATCGTAAATTTACTTTACTGGCCAAAATAATTGAATGCTGAATCAATGTCAATTCTGTTTTAGGGTGGATTTTTCTTTGGAGTGGACCAGAATTTAAATGGGTGTGGTTTTTACCCAGCCTGCAGGTAAAAGACATTCCTCAGTGCTGAATCCTGCATTCTCTGCGACTCAGTCACCTCTCTGACTGCAGGAAGACAGTTAAGTGATCTGGTAATCCAGAGGCAAGGACAGCGTTTGTTTAGTAAGATCAATAAGTTTGCTTTACCATCTCGGCATCTAGGCAGAAATGGAAAGTGCCCTGGAACAGGCCAGTGCTTTAGCATATAGATGTTTATTATGTCAGAGCTACTTCCAAGGCTTGAAAATGTAGATGATATCCAGGTGAGATTCTTCTTCATTAATGGTTTCATTGGGGCCTGTCTCGCAGACGGTGACCTCCAAGGTGCTTCCAGCAGGAAGCTCCTCCACCTTTGAGAGGGAGCCTGTGCTGCATGTGTTGTTGTTAATCCAACCCTTCAGGAGATCTTTGTCCTTTGCCTTCAGACTGACTGTGTGCTCTAATGGTTTTGCATTGCATGAATTCAGTGTTATCTGAAGACTTAGGAAGTAATATCCATCCTTCTTTATTTTTAGAACTTTTCCTCCTTCTGCTCCTGAGATCAGGCGTTCGTCTGGACTTTTTGTTACCCACTTAATTTTGCTGTTGACTGTGGGTGACAGGAAGGTTACTATTAGCTGCAAGTTTGTTTTCCGAGAACTACTCAGATATTCTGAATATCCTGTGGCGAGCAACATTTTCACATAAAGCCAATCAATAACCAGGGTGTTATCTCTACTTCAAACAGCTTGTGAATGGTGACCTGATTCAATGTGTCCACACTTTTACAGCCTTTGTTATACAGGTGAGTATGGAAATGCTTAAACTAGCCTTACCTTCAGTGGCCTTAAAGGTGAGCATTTTGCCTCCGCCCAAGGGAATTCCAGGCTCAGAGGGGTACTGTGGAAAGAGAAAGAAATCCATTAATCTCAAAGCATTAACACACACAAGTATGGTGCCTGCATGGCTCCCAAAGTGACACACAGACCAGCTACACAGATTTTCTTTTTAACGCGGCGATGAGACTAGAGCCTCCCGCTTAAAAGTGAGAACAGATTAGATCATACACTATCTTCAGAAGGAAAATGAAGAGACAACACAGTTTAGTTTAGTGGCATTTCCCCGAATGTGGTAATGACGTCACTGTGCTTCCTTCAAGAAGTGAGGAGAGCGGTAAGGCTGTCTAACTCAGAAGAAAAGTACTATGAGAAAGAGCTGCCAGGTCTGCAATGTTTGTGTGTCCTGAACATTGGGATTGCAAAACCATAGTAGTACTAGAAGTAACAGCATGACATCTTAATCACCAAGAACACATGTAATCTGATTGGGAGAACATACAACACAACACAGTGAAGCCAACAGGAGAAGCACAAACTCTGAAGCTGCGGTTATCTTACCGAGGATGTATTGTTTGCCTGGATTTTTGCCTTTGTGTGCTGTGGTGCTACATCGCTACTGTTCTGAGACTGGAGAAGGAAACAGAAGCACAAAATATGCTCATGATGATAAATTTGACAATGCTGAATCAGACTTTTGAATTGAAGCATTGTCTGTCCAAAGCATTCTCCTGTAAAAACACTAACAGTGATTATACTTCATTAGTAGTCAACCATAAAGCTTACATATTTCCTTCAGATTATACCACTTATGCTCCATTAAGGCTGTATTTGTTGTGTTGCTTTCCTTTATCTCTGATCTTAAACAAACTTCTCTAAGATTTCACTGATAGGGGTAACCAGCTGCAGACCACAGGCAGGGGCGTCTTTCTCACCAGCAATGCTACTACCCAAACCACAAGAAAGAACAGCTGTGTGGCACAGGTGTTTAAACCTACCAGTACTGACATTCGTCCTTTGGTAAGTCGTTTAAATGTGATGCAGCTGTGGTAAAACTATTTAAGCTGACAGTGTTACGTTTGTATTTCATCATTAAGGCCCATAAGATACTGTTAAGTCTATCTGAGGATATTTTAAGAGGTCTCACCCGTCCAGCTGTGAAGAAGAAGACGATGAACCCAAGCTGGACAACGGAGAGGGTGGTGATCCACAACAGGAGAACGTGGGTTAGGGAACTGTGTGTATGCTGTGGCATCGTCAGTCCGACGGCAGAGCTCTGAGTGGCCTGAGCCTGGCTAGCGCAGGAAGACAGATGTTAAGAGCTGAAGGTCCTGAGTTTCCTCTGCACACCGAAGCACTGCGTGTGTGGGTTTGCTTCCTGAGCTCAGTGTGTGCATGTGATGAGGACGTCTTGTTGTCTGACTCTGCTCTGCTGTGCCCTGAGTATGTATAGAGCAAAGAGGAATCCAGATGGTACTTTCCCCTGTATGTTACTGAAGCAAAAACACAGAGGGCCCAGATTGTATCTGCATCTTGGAGCTAGCCTTTACTCCTACTCACCACAATTTAGATAAAAGGAAGAACTCACCATCAGTGGAGAACATTGGCAGAAATCCATTCTGAAATGAATCATTCAGTTCCTTATTTATGATGGGACTTTATTAAGAATGCTTGGGTCGTGGCGGTGTATGTATCATCCTGTTTTACATGAGGTTTTTTGCGAGCACTGAAAGTCATTGCCTTGCTGTTTTTTCTCCACATTTCCCCTTTTTTCTATGTGTCATTAAACATAGCAGAATAACAAACTTAAAACTACTCTGGAGCAAGATAATGTACAGAATGTGAGTAAGGGTAAATGATTACAACACTTAAACAAGAATCCAATAATTCATTGAATTATTGAAGCTTTCAAACAGTGGTGCTATATTTTGGCAACATTCTCTTCTGTACTGATTTTACATTAAAATCTCTGGGTAAAGCAGAGACACCTTGTGAGACAATTGGACGATTTACAGCCCACACGTACACACAATCAACAGCAACGGCATTTTAGCTTAAGTCATCAAAAACCAATGAATGCAGGTTATCTGGCATGCACAATATTTCCAAGAGCTCTCGACAGGCTGCACTCTCAGCACCAACCAACCTTTTACAGAAATGCCACATAAACAGGATTCCGTCCCACAGAGGTACTTGACCTTTTTGAGGTCTTATTGATGAACGCTTATTTAAAATGTATCATGATGTTTTTTTTCTTGCAGCGTTTTCAAAGTGAATATTAAGACTTTTCCTTCACTTTTTTCAATAAGACTTTTGGGGCTCTGTCATTGACATGATTGACTAAGCCCTTAATCTATCTATCTATCTATCTATCTATCTATCTATCTATCTATCTATCTATCTAAATATACCATTATATGTCATTATTTCTTTCTTTCGTTTTTTGGATTGTTGATTGACTGCTGTCCACTGATTGGTTTTTATGCTCAGTGCTTTGTGTTGTTCTTTATCTTTTATTGTACCTTTCTGAATTATGTAAGTTTAGTTTTTTTTTTTTTTTTTTTTTACTTATTCTCCCTTTCTTTTATTGTTTGTTTTTCTGCTTAAGTTGAGGGGAGGTCAGCTGTATACGCCTGTGGCTTATTTACCTCTCCTGACACATTTCTTAATTTTCACTCTCTGGACAAAAACACACAAAAAAGAAGAAGAAAAAAAGAAGAAATAAGAAGTAACGAAAGCTAAAGAAAAACACAAAGAATACAAAAATAAACTTGGGTAAAATGTATTGTCATTAGCGTTTGAGAATCTATTGCATCCCAACAGGAAATTACACCCTGACTGTGAACAAGCGAAGACTTCTCAAATACTTCATGTACTTCCACATCCCACACCTGCTACAAAAACGTACTTCTCAACCAAGAAGATGTGGTTGATTATGTCAAAAACAAAATGCCAAAATGTGGAGGGGAACTCGCAAAATGTCATGATATGCTGTTTACTATTTGCACTTCTTCAAAATTTCCACCTGCTTCTAAACTCTGATTGAGGTCAGTAAATGTGGTTTCACTTTCTCTGTTTGTACTTTGAACGGGGAAAGTTTCATGGCAGCAAAACAGGATGGGCTCTGTTTCAGGTATGTGTCATCACACTAAATAAAGTTATCATGTGGCAGGAAGGTGTCTGCAGTAAGTTACATATATGACTGGCAGTGGTCAAGTAACACAATAACAAGCAACATGTCCAGACATGTTACTGACATTACACCACAGTGGCTGAAGGCCTTTAGGTGCACTGCAGGAAAGTGATATTGTATTTTAGTTAAATAATGGTGGACTGAACATAACATATGAATCGGATGGGAAAAAGCAGAAGAGCAGACACATTTTTGAGAGTCAGCACTCTCGAGTCATGTGCACACAGTGACTGTTTTTTGGCCCATGATGACAAACATGGCTGGAAATGGAGAAGGAAACAAGATTGATTCCGCAATGTTTCTTTGCTTAATTCAACATTTTCAGGTGATGTAATTATTTCCAAACAAAAGCCAGACCAAATGGCATAACAATGAATGAATCATGGTTTCATTTGGCACAGAGGAAATGCAGCGTAATTAATCAATCATCAAAATCTTATCCAGCATTATCAGAATTGGCTAAGATTGTGGTAAAAGCCTGTGATAATGGGATAAATCAATAGCTGAAGCTGCGACATGTGATGCCAATGCAAGATGGAAAATCAGCTCATGAACATCCGAGGGCGTTGACGCCAACATGTAGACAGTGACAGCAATACATGTGCGATATTCAAAGCTGCTACACCATATGTTCAAATCCAATTTTCCTTTAAGACACAAAACAAAATGATATCACATGACTAGAGGAGAAATAATTGACTCCTGCCATCTTAGAGCCACTCCTCAGTGACTACTGTTGATAATATACAGTACATTTACTTTCTCTGATTTTCTGGCCACTAAATGATGACTTACAGCCATCTAGTGGAGGTAAGTGAGTAATGCACCACAACAGACAGTCATGTTAAAAGAAAAGGTCAGGCTATATGGCACTATACTATGCTTTATCAATCTCGACCTACAGTTAATGTAGAACTCTAACACTGCATGATCCTAAAACACATGTGAAACTGGTGTCTTGCTGTCTTGTCTGTCTGTCTGTCTGTGGTGCATCGGTGAGGGAATCTCCAAAGAAAAGCCACAGGTAAAAAAAAGTACAGCTGTGGTGAAGACACACATCTACAAAGGTGCTTATAAGTACATGAAAAACGACCCTATTGCACTTTAATATACAGTACAGGCCAAAAGTTTGGACACACCTTCTCATTCAATGCGTTTTCTTTATTTTCATGACTATTTACATTGTAGATTCTCACTGAAGGCATCAAAACTATGAATGAACACATGTGGAGTTATGTACTTCACAAAAAAAGGTGAAATAACTGAAAACATGTTTTATATTCTAGTTTCTTCAAAATAGCCACCCTTTGCTCTGATTACTGCTTTGCACACTCTTGGCATTCTCTCCATGAGCTTCAAGAGGTAGTCACCTGAAATGGTTTCCACTTCACAGGTGTGCCTTATCAGGGTTAATTAGTGGAATTTCTTGCTTTATCAATGGGGTTGGGACCATCAGCTGTGTTGTGCAGAAGTCAGGTTAATACACAGCCGACAGCCCTATTGGACAACTGTTAAAATTCATATTATGGCAAGAACCAATCAGCTAACTAAAGAAAAACGAGTGGCCATCATTACTTTAAGAAATGAAGGTCAGTCAGTCCGGAAAATTGCAAAAACTTTAAATGTGTCCCCAAGTGGAGTCGCAAAAACCATCAAGCGCTACAACGAAACTGGCACACATGAGGACCGACCCAGGAAAGGAAGACCAAGAGTCACCTCTGCTTCTGAGGATAAGTTCATCCGAGTCACCAGCCTCAGAAATCGCAAGTTAACAGCAGCTCGGATCAGAGACCAGATGAATGCCACACAGAGTTCTAGCAGCAGACCCATCTCTAGAACAACTGTTAAGAGGAGACTGCGCAAATCAGGCCTTCATGGTCAAATAGCTGCTAGGAAACCACTGCTAAGGAGAGGCAACAAGCAGAAGAGATTTGTTTGGGCCAAGAAACACAAGGAATGGACATCAGACCAGTGGAAATCTGTGCTTTGGTCTGATGAGTCCAAATTTGAGATCTTTGGTTCCAACCGCCGTGTCTTTGTGAGATGTAGAAAAGGTGAACGGATGGATTCCACGTGCCAGATTCCCACTGTGAAGCATGGAGGAGGAGGTGTGATGGTGTGGGGGTGTTTTGCTGGTGACACTGTTGGGGATTTATTCAAAATTGAAGGCACACTGAACCAGCATGGCTACCACAGCATCCTGCAGCGACATGCCATCCCATCCGATTTGCGTTTAGTTGGACGATCATTTATTTTTCAACAGGACAATGACCCCAAACACACCTCCAGGCTGTGTAAGGGCTATTTGACCAAGAAGGAGAGTGATGGAGTGCTGCGGCAGATGACCTGGCCTCCACAGTCACCGGACCTGAACCCAATCGAGATGGTTTGGGGTGAGCTGGACCGCAGGGTGAAGGCAAAGGGGCCAACAAGTGCTAAACACCTCTGGGAACTCCTTCAAGACTGTTGGAAAACCATTTCAGGTGACTACCTCTTGAAGCTCATGGAGAGAATGCCAAGAGTGTGCAAAGCAGTAATCAGAGCAAAGGGTGGCTATTTTGAAGAAACTAGAATATAAAACATGTTTTCAGTTATTTCACCTTTTTTTGTGTTCATTCACATGTGTTCATTCATAGTTTTGATGCCTTCAGTGAGAATCTACAATGTAAATAGTCATGAAAATAAAGAAAACGCATTGAATGAGAAGGTGTGTCCAAACTTTTGGCCTGTACTGTATGTACCTCTCTGTTATCATGTGTGTCGCTTTTAAGGAGATGTATCTTTAGTGTGTGTAAAAACTGCGATGGAGAATGAGAAAAAATATTTATATGGATCTTTAAAATGGAGAATGACCTTCACTAAATAAAAGTTGTCCTTTTTCATGTCTGGTTCTCCTTTCCTTTTTGAATCTGTTACCTCAAATCACCCGTGGTTTGTGTAAATATCGTTATACGTTTTATCAGTTAGCAACACCATAATCAAAAACAAGGTTGGTTTAAATTTAGATTTTGGTGCATATGCATATTAGCATTAGCAGTGACAGCTTTGCAAGGAAAGAATGGACCTTGACAAGTAAGACAGTGAGGTTTACACTAGATGTCATAGATTAACTGTTAATCCAAGAGTAAATTTACTATCTGAACATTAGTGGATTTAGGGTTTTCCTTATAGGCAGGCTACACCTTCCGGTTTACACATAGCTCAAGGAAACGCAAAATTGATTAAGAAAACAAAAGCTATTTTGATATTTTCTGGGTAATTTTCAGTGTTCTGTTCCTTTTTAATTTCCTAAATACAGTGTTTTCTTTTCAAATTTTCCATTGCAATGTTTAATTTGCAATGTTTTAACTGAAATGTTTGATTAACCTTTAATTCTCATTTAATATTTGCTTTCCACTACAATATC